CAGGACTGTATGTGACTGGACACCACTAACACAAACACCTAAAAACTGAGGGTATGTTTAAAAAAAACCCAATCAGACAGTAGATTCAGATTGTATGGTCACATATCCAATCAACTGTTGGACATACTGGTGCTTTTTGCATTTGTGATATCTTCTATGGCTGATTTTGCTCAAGTCTGTATTTGTCTTACTTCTTCTTGATGTTGGGACACAGTTTGAGGACGTCTTCCTTGCAGGCTGTCTTGAACTTGTAGGAAAAACGGAAATCTTTAACCTGAATCTGTGGACAGGCAGAAGGGCAGTCAGAGCAGTTGGTTATTAATGATTTCAAGAAGCTGCAGGAATATTACAGCCTTTCTAAACTGATAAGATTTTGCATAACTTCTTCTACTCCTGCACCAACACATTTCCATCAGTCTGCTCACCAGCTGGAAGTGTGTCACTCCCACGGCACACTTCTCATTCATCTCCTTCTGGTGTTTGTTCTGAACCAAACACTCCATCAGATCACCAGAGTCGATCTGGTTATCAGCCACCTCCTGCCAGGCGCAGAGAAAAGGAGAAGGAAGACTGAACTCATCGACAACTTCCTCTGAAATATGTTGACACTGACAAAAGTAATCAACACGCTGTATTTAGCAGAAGATGCTTTGAAAGAGCTGTGAAAAATGTGCGTCTCCTCTAAAGTGCATTAATAATTTCCTGCACACTGCATAGATGCAAGATGGTTCAAGTGAGTTAAAAAATAAAAGTCACCATCTTATTCATCTGATCAAAAATAACCTCTCAGTGTGACGAGAACTTGTTCATGAGCATTTTAGCAAAGAACAGCGAGCTCTTCGTGTGGCGCCAGCTTTGACCAAACACAGAAACTTTGAAATTTTGTTTTGTGGTCAAGAACTTAGACCACACATGGGAAAACCCAGGTCAGGGACCATCTCAGTCCAGCCCCCAACATCCTAAAAACAAACAAATAACCCCTCAGAAGGCAAAAGTCGTAACTTCAGGGGGGCACAAAAGGAGAACCAGACAACACTGTGGCAATGAATAAGAAGGCAGCTTTGGAAATAACTTTCTCACAACTGTGAAAAGATGAACCTACTGGAAGGAAAACACGAGCTGTGGAAGGACTGCTGGTTTGCAGAGAATTTTCAAAATAAGAGCATGGGGACTGTCCACAAGAGAAAATTTGATTTTGCTGTTACAAATGATTTTTTTTTAATTTAACTAAACTGCAAAATATCCTCCTTGGCAGGCCTTCGGGTTTTTGTGCATCATGCTTCAATTCCATTGTTGAGTATATGGCGACTCGGACCTGCTAAGGAAAAACGTTACGCGTCGCAGCTTCAGTCACAGGAACATCAGTTTGCTTGGAGGCTGTTGTAGAGTCTCAACCAAACTTAGTATATTCAACCAAAAACACAGAAAATGCCCAAAGAATTGAAGTTTGAAGGAAGATGTGCTCATCAGTTCATACTTACATGGCAGTGGGCCTGAATGACGGGATCACACGCTCTCATCAGCAGCGCCTCAATCTGAATATCCTGCAGATGGAAATCACAAACTCAAAATGACTTCAGCCAGTTCAAGTTAACCTGCTTTTATCAGAGTGGGACGGCTCAAACTCACTATTTCAGTCCAAATGTCTGCTACTGTACTGAGAAGTTAATTATCAGGTTGATGCACCGCCTGCTGTCTGACAGTAATTCAGTGCAAATAATACAACTTTTCAGACAACTGGAAACTGGTTTGTAAACACCTATAAAAAAGGGCCAAGTCTTTTTTTTAATCATCTTTAACTACATACAGCAAATTTATGCAAAACTCATTTCAAGCCCTTCCTTTGATTTTAATACTTTTAATGCCTCAAAGGAACCTTGGAAACATCAGTTGTCTCATGTTTGTAACTAATGTTTTGCATGCTTTAAAGAAACTGCAGTGCACGGAGACAAGCTAACCTCTGACTCCAGCTCGGTCAGGTTTCCCACCACCTCCTTGCAGTCAGCAACCAGGTCGTCCAGGTGGTCCTGCAGGCACTCCAGCTCCTGCCCGGCCTCCGTTTTCTCGCTGCACCACTTTCCCAGGTCAGTCATGCAGCGCCTCTGCAGCTCAGGGTCCAGCTTCACATCCAGCGCCCTCTGGTGGAGAATCCTCTGCACCTCCACCTT